TTTTGCATAACAGAATATAAAAACCCGACAGTTTGAAACGTTTTCAAAATCACATCTCGGCTACGTAGCTCAAGAGTTCTCACATTCGTTAGAAAATTGTTTTAAGCTCAACAACATTCGATTGGTTTCATTTGGGGTTAAGTTTGGATAATTTAGCAATAATTGATGCAATAGTTCTGGGTTTAAGGTTCTAAATAATGACGGTGAGGTTACTGATGAAGATTATGTGTTAATGGCTAACCTCATCTGAGTTCACGCTAGGGGACACTAGGGGACAAAGGATGTAGACAAAAAATACTATAAAACTTATGAATGCTAGTTCTAATTTACATTTATAATGATGGTGATGAAATCAATATAGTTAAGTTGTTTGCCTCTGTTTTTGCACAGAATTATTGATTTGGTTTCTGAACGAGATACCGATTAGGTAAAATTTGAATCAACGAAATAAATGTCGTATTTAGAATTATACTACTGATGAAATAAATGAGTAGAATACCAAATGCACGCAAAGACGAGAACGCTTACCTCACCACCTTCTTTCTTGGTAATCACGAAATTCGGTCGGTTAGCATTCTTGCGTTCTTCCCACTCTTGGCGTTTGCGTTCACGTTCCTCGCGCTTTCGTTGTTCCTCTTCGCGTTTCTTCCGTTGTCGTTCTTCCTGTAATGTTTTGCATCATTTGTGAAGAGCGGATCGATGGCAGTTAGGAAAAATGGTTCAGACGGCAGTGAACACGTTTTCGTCTTTTATCATCATCCGTACATCAATAATCCCAATCACTTCTATAGTATCAGTAGTAATTAGATTTGGACCACAGTGAATCAACACTGGACGGGTCCCAAATAGGATGAGGGTTTTGGTTTTTGGAAATCAGAGCTAAAATTCTTCGGGAGTGGAAGAATAGAAATGAACATCTGACTGCACTATGTAATTGTCATATATCCTATTCTGTTTTCCATACCAGAGAACAAAAGCCAACAGGTATAAAAGCGGAATCAAAATAAGCCGCAAACGTGAAATTTCCAGTTAGGCCATTATTTATCGAATGAACGCAATCTTAAGGATAATGAGTTGTAGATTCATATTCTCACTCTGTAAGTTTACGATCTCGGCTTTAATGTGCATATTTGCAATTTTATTCAAGCCATCTCCATGACTGCTAATACTCGTCAATAAGAGACAGGATAATCCCAGTACCAAATGTGCATAGCCCGTTTAGAATTTCAACCAAAGAAGAAGCGCTTCCAGCCAAAATACGTACAGACAACAGTCAACATTTCTGCTTCAGATCAAGCGAAGATCAAACATTGATCAAACATTTTGAAAATTATTGATTGGTCTTTGATAGTAAAAAAAACGAATTCATTTTTTGATTCGACAACACAACCGTAGCTTTAATCAGCTTCTTTCAAGTTTACCTGTTCCAAATGGGCATATGGAGCAGAAATTGATCGCCAAAGTAGGTAGGACTGTAGATATGCAAAAGGGGACAAAACTGAGCAGGAACCGGTTGCTGGACCGCTAAAAGTAATATCTTTCAGGATGTTTATCCAATCCATAGCGCAGCACACAAGCATTGCGAAATTAGTTTGAAACGGGACCAAGAACCGGTGTGAGTCGAACACACTTACCTCTTCTGCGCGTCGTTTCTGTTCTTCCACTTGTCTCAATTCAGCCAATCGTTTCTCCTCTTCCGCACGTTCTAGTTTGCGGCGTTCCTGCAACATCAAAAAGGACGGGGAGTTGAGTAAAAATACTGGGACGGTGTGAGGTGGGGGACGATCTGATAGTGAGGAGGACAACGAATGTGACGAGATTATCACATGAATTTAGCGGCTCATGCAAAGAGGCCTAGATAGTCATGGTAATAGCAAGAAACAAAACTCCTGGCTACTGTTCTCCTATTCCACCCCAAATCCCTGGGAACATACTCGGCGTTCACGTAGTTGACGAATTTCTTCCTCAGCCTTCTCACGCTCACCACGTCGGAATTCTTCGTACTCGCGCCATTCTTCTTCAGCTCGTTCTCGTCGACGTTTGGCTTCTTGCTGGAACCAGAGAAGGACAACAACAACAACAACAACAACGGATGAGAAATCGTACCGACCGGGCAGAGGGGGAGGGAGTAGACAGATATAAAACTGTCAGAATGTGTGCTTGGGTGTGGAGTAACGATTTGGGATGCGCGGGGGGGGGGGGG